GTTTAATTTGCTTTTGACATAATCCACCAATTTTTTAGAATTTAATATTATCCATAGATATGCATCGAAGCGTTTCTTATGATAGTGATTTCAATCACTGTTAGATATCATCTAGACTTGTCCAATTATGCCAAGTCCTCACTGTGCCACGACCCCACTGTGATACCGTTTTTATCACGACTTTGCCCTGCAGTTAACAGCAATAATTGATAACGGTAATGAACTGATAAATATAAAATTCAACGATTGCTATGACCCCAAGGATACGTTATATTATATAATATTAAAATAATAAGTATTATTATAATTTATATCTACTACTTATGTTGATTGTGATTCATAATCTATGGACAAATTAGGTATATCTATTTTTATATGGCCTGATGAAATTTCAAAATGGCCTACTTGAAATCTTGCTCACCCAATAAAAACTGAAATGACGCCTTTACCCTGTACACTATTAAATTTTACGCTAGAATACTCAAATAATATTTATTTTGACTCGACCGATCAAGGTATGTATTTTTTTTTTCAATAAAAAACATACTTAAACTATAGATAGTTTAAAAGCAATAAATATTATATTATCAAATTACAATATTTTATTCGACGCTTTTGTATTTTATGGTGAATATAGGTGTTAATGTTAAAAACATGAAATTCCGATAACAATATAAATAATTCGAAATATTGTCACATTTTAATAATTTACGTCATTCGATATTTTTAATTTGTTTTTTTTTTTTTAACCACTTGTTCAATTTTAACTTAGCCTATAATTTAAAAGTCATTCATCGGTATTAAAAAATAAAATACATTAAAATTTAATACATTCTTGTGTTGTTTTTAGTAGTGTTAAAGAATTAAATAGTTATGAATTTAATACCAATGTTTTCCTTAACAATTACTTTGATAAACATTGACAGTATAAATGGATCGAGACTATTTCAAATTAATGGAATAAGACAAGTAAAAACTTTATGGGAATTTTTAAACAATGAGCCTGTTGTTTTGGAGAACAACACCGTAACTAAACTTCAATTGATATTCGATGAAGCAATAAAGAGCAAGATAGAATCAAACTTAGATAAAGCATATGAAGCTTATAAGTTTGCGGTAACTAATAGGGCCTACAAGTATATTTATCTACTAGCGATTTACACTATCGAAGCTCTATATACTAAAGAAGAAAGTAATACGGTCAAACATTTGATTATTAATTCTTTAAATACATGTGTAACATGTAAAACATCGAAAGACAATATGATCAAACTATTATTTATAACAAGTTTTGGACAAATACAAAGTAGGCTAAAAAACAAAATACCAAATGGAGATAATAATGTAAACGAATTTCATGAATACTTGCATTTGAAAAATGTAAACTTCATACTTCTATTAAATGAGATAAAAGATTTTTTCTATAGCGAAATGAAATTAATTATTCTCGAAAATTCATCTGAAGATGAATTCAAAAACGAGAATGATGAAACGAAAAAACTATGTGCAGTGATGAAAGAATTGGTTCATATACATCAAATACAATTTCAAGTTACATATGTATTCACAGCCAAAACAAAATCAAAAAAGGTTTTGGTGTCCAATTTAGAGAAAATTGTTGAATTGGTAGAAAAGGAATACAAACTTTAATAAAATAGTTAAAAAATACCATTGAAATACTTTACAATTGTTTTTTTATTGTCTATTGTAAAATGCATTTTAAAAATAGTTTAAATACAAATTTGTTTCTAAAAAAACAATTATAGTAATAAATTGTTTTTATTTAAAAATAAGAAGACACTATTTTTTTTAGAATTCTGATTTCATTCAGTTAAAATAATTCATGTGTTTGAATACATATGTTTTTTACATAAATATTTCTATATAATTTACGAGTAATTTTCATGATTTTTGGGTAGGCTGCAATAGAATTACGATAGTACGTTTTTCTAAAACAGTGACATATTTGTGAGGGTGGTAGAAGCTATATTTAACTCAGGGGATAAATACATCCCTGAGATGTATTCATTTAAATGAATTTATCCTAACCTACCTTAATATCAACACCCCCAAAGCCTTCAATACGGTGCTATTTTAAACCCGTCCATATATGCAATATAGACGAGTTTAAGTTTATTTAAAAAAATAGATTAACTTTTTGAAAGGCATCAATTTGTACCTCATAAATTCATTTTAAAGGAAATGAATTATATTTTATTGGGAATATCTATTTAAAAAATTATTTAAATTTAAACTAGGTTTTAAAATCTTAATGACTTTAGTATTAAAAACGCAACAAATAATTATTAAAAAGATAAATTAAAAGAAATATTTTTTTATCAATAACCAGAAAATACTATAAAAAGTAATGTAAATTACTAAAGTAATTTAAATTAATATCATTAAAAAACCTTATTATACAATTATCAATAATATTAAGTATCTAAATATTAATTGTTTTAAAGTATTAGAATATTTTATGATTTATTTTTTATTGTGTTATTTATTTGGTTTTAAATGAATATTTTGCAATCTTATAAACTAATAACATCAATCAAAGTCTCGAAATAATGAAACAGATGATTTAATTAATGAATAGGAAATTTTCTTTCGACGTAATAGTTATGAATCGTTCTAAATTTAATGTTGAATACGTTTTTTTCATATAGAAATTTTGTATCATTGACGTGTGTGCTAAGTAAAACAATAGCTTATATGAAAAGAAAATACAGACCACCTTTGTATAAAATATAAAATTAGGAATGTTCAACAATTATGAGTCATTTTATACATAAAAAAATTTAAAAATTATAAAACTTTTTTGAAATATAAATTTATCATTTTGTAATTTTAAATGTAATTTGTTATTTGTTAAAAATTGTATATTTTTTTAATTATGTTCCTAACTTTTCTTCTTATTCGTAAATTCATATTTAGTATTCGTGCATTTTAATTTTAATAATTTTAATTATGTGAATTATTTTTGTAAATATAATTTATATCATTATTTTATTTTATACACAATACGGGCGTTAACACAAAATAATAACTCATGACAATTCTGTTTAAGAATTCAAAATCAAGAATAAGATTATTGATGAAAATTATTAAACACTAACAACAAGTAAAAATAATAAAATAGTAAAAACAAAGACACAAACATACACTTATCATATCTAAATATTAGAAAACAGGAAAATGTAATATATATATATATATATATATATATATATATATACAAAAGCATTTTCATAAACTTCATGGGGCAATTGAAAATGAGCAGTTATAATACACAAACTTACAACTAAAAATTGACAATTAATTTTACAAATTAGCTAAATGACGGCAAATATGCAAAATTTACAATGATTGAAATTAGTACTATTGGTTATGCGCATTAAACGTAAAAGGGGGAATAAATTGGAAACCAAAATTAAAAACTGAAGACACGTATAAAACAGGGTGATTATGGATAAAGTAAGGCGATGAAATAAGATTAGTAATACCAAAAAATGAGATTTTTTGACATTTTATTAGAATATTAAACGTTAAACCATTATCTTCACCCCAAATAATTAGGCATCAAGATCAAGAAGAAAGAAAACATCAAAGGTATTGGAGACACTCATAAATAATTTAAAGTCATCAGCGAATAGAAGTATTTTTGTGTACTTGAAACAAGACCTTAAATTAAACAAAAAATTATCAGTAATACCATCTGGACTAATTAATTAATTATTAGAAAACTTATAAAAGACTACTAAAGACGTCTTCCAAAGAAAAATAGGCATTTGATGGGAGGTTAAAGAATAATTAGGGTTTAATATTTAAGGGAGGGGAAGAAGAGGGTAGATAAAAACCAAAAGAGCTTAAATCACCTGGCGTTGATATTTTTGACCGAAACTGCCGTTTTTTAACGTGATTTAACGATAGATGGAACACCATTGACGTAAACGATAGTTAAATCCATTTTACTTAAATCAGAACGACGATCAAGCTCACGGTGGCAGGAACGAAGAAGTTCACGTTCAAGAGGGATTTTATTTCGAACTATATTATGTGCAGAAAACCAGATCTTTTAGAATTGGAGAAACGCGTCAAAAAGATTTATACAGCCTCTTAGCTACTAAATATAAATTTTAGCGGCCGAATGAACCAACAGTTACTTTTCCCAATCGTGCCAATTTAAAATCAGAGATACCAAATATAGCTTCAAAATATACTTAAAATGATTAATACCATCAGTAACTCAAACAGAAACAATAGTAGAGGCAGAGTCACCATAAGCAATAAGGTTTTATTCACAACGCCATGATCATTTAGTTCAAGAATAATTTTTGGTAAAATCGAAGTTTCGTCATCGGTTGTATACAAGATCCAGATTTTGTTTTTACTAAACGGTTAGTCTAAGAATTCTTAAGAGGAGTATCTCATTTAGGTTGAGATATACTTGGGGAATTCATTTTGAATAGTATTAAAATAGTTAGTAAAAGAGTTTACTTGCTACCCCTTACGAACATAAGATATTTTATGAAAATTTAAGATCAACTAAATGAACCACAATATATAACTGCATTAATTTTCTTTGAAATTTTAGTGATTTTATGGAAATTGGGAAACTTAATTCCCCAGACTACTCCATCAATGTTTTCCTATGCTTAATGAAATTAATAAATCAAAAATTGTATTATATAAGTCTCTTTTGTTCATCACTATATTTGTCATTTCTGTCCAAATTATGAAAAAAATAGGCGATAATAAGACAAAATTTGGCAGTTTGTTCAATAAATAATATAAAAAGCTGTCACATAGATAATAGTGTCATGACTTGGTGGATGACTTACCACATGGACAGCAAAAAATAACAACTATTTTAGTTATTCGTAAAAATAGATTTTTTCATACAATAATTAAGTAAAATATAGAAAAGATTATTAAAAACAATTTATAATTATAACAGTTAAAGAAAAATATATAAGGTAGAGATTGAATTAAAAGAATCATTTAGGCACATACTTTATTATTAAACATTATAAAATAAAATATCATTAACAAAAACATTTGGTAGAATTAGAAAAAAAGCAACAAAAATTACAGAACAAATTACGCGTACATATATATAATATATAGATAATAATAAAAATTAAAAACGGATCATAAAATTTCAAAACGCACTCTGCAGGTTAATAATTAAATTGTTAGCTTGATATGTTAGCAAAAATAAATAATAATAGGGTGTTTTTTTTAGATATATTTTTAAAATATAATCGTTCTGTAAAAAGCTTATATTCAGCAGCAAGCAATTATATATTATGTATGTATGACAAATATCGTTGGTTATGATTATTAAATATTATTTGTACGGTGGTAAAGCCCACAATGTGGTTGTCTTATCAGCGCTAGTACTCAAAAACGAAAAATCAGTTGGATGCCATCGGCCAGATATCACTTTGTCTTGGTGTTGTGCGACTACTACACTGGGCAAAGAGGTAGTTAAATCGCCTAGAAAATAAATTAAAACGATTAATTATGAAACAAAAAATAAAATGTACAAGTATTATTTACCTTGTAGATCTGTGAGTACTAATTTATTGTCGTATCCTCCTGTTAGCAAGTAATAAGCACTGGGTGAAAAGCGCAATGACCGAACGTCTGCTGAATGTGGTTTAAAACATTGAAGACTCCTCGATCCTCGGATATCATACAATACACATGCCGAGTCCTCGTGACCAGTAACCAACAGACGACCTGATGGTTCTACACAAACAGCTGCTACTGGAGAACCCTGCTATAAAATAAATAATAGTAAAAATATCATTATTTATTTTGGTAATCCCAAAATTTTAAATATTAATTAAATTAAAAACAATTATAATTAAAACAATTTTGGTTTCTATTAATTAGTAGTGTAATACACTAATTGGGAACTGAGACTTTTTAAGTCTATATTAATTTAAAAGTAAATTTTATTTTGTGTAACTTTATTGTTACAAAATAAAAATATTTAGAAACGTTAGAAATATCAAACTTTTTATCTGTCCATAAAATTAACCCTAACCGGCGTAATAATATTTTTTTAATAATAAAAATACTTAATAGTCTTTATAGAGAATACTTATGACAGATAAAGAAAGTTTTAGTATAGATCCGGGCTCGAATTTATATTAAAAATATTCTACCTACATTGCCACATTGCTATGGGCGTAACTAGAAAATTAAATCATCTACTCAGGCACGTAGCCAGAAAATATTTATTGGAGGGGCCAACAATTTTGGGCACTTGGATCATTTTTCATAATTTGTTTCCCATGAAAAGCTTGTGGGGGGCTCTCTCCACTCCTCCTTAGACAGTATCCCATTCTATGAATCTTACAAGTTCAAAATTTTACCATTGCTTGGTTAAAAACAAATTGTTTTCGTATAAAGTATACTAATTATTACAGTATTATAAAAAACCCAGCACAGAGGGGTCGCCGCACAGTGGTGACGTGGCATAGTTGGATCAAGTATAATGATATCTGACAGTGATTAAAATCACTATCAAAAAAAAATGCTTCGATACAAATCTTTAGATAGTGTTTAATTTTAAAAAATTGGTGGATTATTCCAAAAGCTACATAATCTGCTAGTTCCTTATTAATATCCTGATTAAGATAAAGTATATCGAATGAGAAAGGGATTATTAAAAAATAGTATTTCTCATAGAAAAATTATGTTGATCCATACCCTTTTCTATAAGTTATAGCATTATAAAGTTAAAAATATAAAAAATAAAATCTAGAATTTTGACACAATAATAGCATTTGGTAGCCATTTTCACCGTGAAGACAAAATAAAGTCTGAAATTTTTATTTTTCAAAATAAAGTACATTACATTAGCTTTAATTTAAGATATATATAAAAGTGTCAGACTTTCCGGATCACTTTCAAAAGTTAATTTTTTGTGAAAAGTTTATAAGATATATATAAAAGTGAATCCCCTCCTGTAGGCAGGTAAAAAGTCTGATTTATAAAAAAAAATATACCAAATGATAGGTAAAGACATCATGCATCTATAAAAAAAATAATTATATTGATCCATACTTCTTTCAAAAAGTTATAGCATTATAAAGTTAAAAATATAAAAAAGAATTTTTTTACAAAAATCGTATTTTTTTTATTAACTTTGATGTCTGTTTTCACCATGAAGATAAAATAAAGTCCGAAATTTTTTTTTTTCATTATAAAGTATATTACATTAGCTTTAATTTAAGATATATATAAAAGTGTCAGACTTTCCGGATCACTTTCAAAAGTTAATTTTTTGTGAAAAGTTTATAAGATATATATAAAAGTGAATCCCCTCCTGTAGGCAGGTAAAAAGTCTGATTTATAAAAAAAAATATACCAAATGATAGGTAAAGACATCATGCATCTATAAAAAAAATAATTATATTGATCCATACTTCTTTCAAAAAGTTATAGCATTATAAAGTTAAAAATATAAAAAAGAATTTTTTTACAAAAATCGTATTTTTTTTATTAACTTTGATGTCTGTTTTCACCGTGAAGACAAAATAAAGTCCGACATTTTATTTTTGCATAATAAAGTACATTACATTAGCTTTAATGTAAGATATATATCAATGTATCAGACTTTCCGGAACATTTTCAAAAGTTAAGTTGAAAAAGTTAATTTTTTGTAAAAAAGTTGTCATTTTAAATCTCCCCTGTAGGCAGGCAAAGGATCAGATTTATAAAAAAAATATACCAAATGAAAGGTAAAGATATCATGCATCTATAAAAAAATGTATACAGATTCGGCCATTTTTAGAAATTTAATGCAGTTTAAAGTAAAAAAAAATTTTTAAATGTCAAAAATTAGCGATTTTTACATTTGTAATTTTTTGGAGGATTTCCACATTTATTTACAGGGTACGAGAGAAACGTTTTCAATTTTCAAGGTAATGTCTTACTAGATGCGATTTGTGATCTTTTGATGTTATGTTCATCAAAATCGGTCCAGCGAGAGCTGAGATTGAGCGTTTACAGATACATAAAAATATAGTCATAGAACACTATATATTTTTTTAATTAAAAATTACAGAATCTACAAATTAATAAAAAATACCCCCTTAATTACATATTTCCCCCCTAACTACTCTTTTAATGCACTCCCTTAATTACCAACTCCCCCTAACTCTCTCATAAGTATACCCCCTTAATTACAAATTCCCCCTAATTACTTTTTTAGTATCCCCCTTAATTATCAAATCCCCTAACTACTCTTTTAGTATACCCCTTAATTACCAACTCCCCCTAACTTTAGTATAACCCCTAATTCCTCTTAATTATTCACCCTTAATTATTAATTACCCTTAGATACTATTTTCTCTCCTTTAATTACTATATTTCACATCCTGAATTACTAATTATTACCCTTAAATTACTGCATCTCACAACCTTAATTATTAATTATTCCTATTTTCTCTCCCTTTATTACCAATTATTATTATTCTGCTCCCTAAATACATATTACTACTAATTTATTACACCCTTAATACTAAGTACTATTGGTTTATACTAATTACCATTATTCTGAAAAGAAATTATAATAAACAAAAATATACTTTTCTTCTTCAACTTTTCGCGCTCTTTTTAAATCTCTAATTAGACTTTTTCTATCACTTCTAAGTTTTGATAGAATTACTTATTATTAAAAAATAAGTATTGACATAAAAAAAATTGTTTTAAATTAATACTGATTTTAATTATTAATATGTTAAAAATATGAAAAATGACATATTTAACCTATTTTGTTAATCCTTTATGGTTGATTTTTATGAAAGTTTATAATAAAAAAAACAATAGATGATTTTTTCAGACAGTCATTGAGTATGACTGATGGTAATGAACAGATAAATATAAAAAAAAAACCCAGCACAGTGAGGTCGTGGCACAGTGGGGACGTGGCATAGTTGGGTCCAGTATAGATTTAATCAGACAGTGATTAAAATCACTATCATAAGAAACGCATCGATGCAAATCTATAGTGTTTAATTCTAAAAAATTGGTGGATAATTACAAAAGCAACAACAACTTCTACTTCCTTAATTATATCCCGATTAGTAATTCTTTTTTACTTATATATTATATATTTTTTATAATTAATTGTTTTCAAGTTATTATTGATTTTTAATATGTTAAAAGTAATAATTTTTAACCTACTTTTTTTTGTCCTTTAAANATTATATATTTTTTATAATTAATTGTTTTCAAGTTATTATTGATTTTTAATATGTTAAAAGTAATAATTTTAACCTATTTTTTTTTGTCCTTTAAAGTGAAAGTTTATAATAAAAAAATAAAAAAATAAATTTATTACCATAACTTTTAGCTCAATTTGCAAGTCCAAATTTTATTTTCCATAATAAAGTACATTACATTAGCTTTAATTTAATAAATATATAAAAGTGTCAGACTTTCCAGAACATTTTCAAAAGTCAAGTTGAAAAAGTTAATTTATTTGTGAAAAAGTTGTCATTTTAAATCCCCCCTGTGGGCAGGTAAAATGTCAGATATAAAAAAAAAATATACCAAATAAAAGGTAATGATATCATGCATCTATATAAAATAAATTATATTGATTTGTTAATTTTTGAAAGTTATGGCAGTTTTCAGTAAACAATATTTTAAAAAATTTCGAAAATTAGCGATTTTTAAATTTGTAATTTTTTTGGAGGTTTCCCCCATTTACGGGGAATGAGGGAAATTTTTTTCAATTTTTGAGGGTAATGTCTTCGACTACATACAATTTGTGATCTTTTGACGTATTATTGAAAGACATCGGTTTGGCGAGAGCTGAGAAAAAGTGGTAACAGACACAAAAAAAAACACATCATAGTAAAACCAATACCTTCTCAGTTTTGCATCGAAGCTAATAAAATAATGATGTGAACATAAGCTGATTTAATTTTTCAACTTTTAAGCTATTAAGAAAAAATAATTTATACCTAAATACTAATAACAAATAAGTTATAAACAGGGTTCGGGACTTATAGCACTTAAAATCATTAAAAAAAGCGCTTAAAAAAGCACTATAAAACATAAAAAAAAGCACTCAAATAAGCAATTATAAATAAAAAAATTAATCAAAAAATCCCCAAAATTTCTTAATTTTCTTTTAATAAATAAAGTACTAAATATTTGTAACTGTGCTGAATATACTTTTTTAGGACTTTAGGATTAAATACCATTAAAATGAAACTATTTCATTGAAAAAAAAATACGGGTATTTAATTAATTTGTTCTTTTAATTATAAATTAAAATTAAAAATACAAAAAAAAAAAAATATACAAAAAATGAATTCTGTAAGAATCAAAATGATGTCTGACTTTGACTTTCAAGTTGAATGATAAGAAATGTTAAATAATATCTTGTTTATGGATTTTTTGAAAAATTAAATATAAATTTGTGTTGATATCCCAGTATGCCATAACGTTCTAAAAATATTGTTTACCGAGAAATCCATTATAAAAAGGAAATCAACCAAGTACCACACTAGTATGACACTTCAACCATAGCTAAAGAAGTTAACGATGCCGAGGACGGCGTTGGCTATCAAATAGATAAGATAACAAAGACAAAACTCTACAAACAAGGAAGGCAATTGAATTATTTTCCTTATTAGATCTATCAAAAACAAGCATTTGTTTTTTATTAAATCATCGAAAAAAGCAGAAAAAACTGAAAATAAGCGTTTTTTGAAAAAATCATCAAAAATAGCAAAAAAAAGCATTTTCTAGCAAATGCTATAAGTCCCGAGCCCTGGTTATAAATAATTTTGAAAATAAATATAAATTATAAACAATGTAAAATTTATTTTATTTAAAATTAAAAACAATTCCTGCCTTTTTTTAGTCATATTTTCATTACTATTATTTAGAGCTCGCAAATAACAAATTAACAAAAACAAATAAATTACTTATTATAACTACTAAATTATAAAAAAAAAAACAGATTAAAGATAAGATTTATCAAAAAAATTTTCATAGAGTATTACTCTATCGAATTTTGTAATCAACTAGATTCTAATCAATGCATATTTCAATAAGTATCAATGATACTTGGTAGTTTGTTATCATTTGTTGGACCAGAGTTAAAAAAAATTTATCTACAACCACGTTTGGAGTAACTGATATTACATTTATTATTACGTCCAGAACGTTATATTTTTCAAATAACATTTTCTATGAATATAAAAATGAAAATACAGCCATAATAATAACTGTATTACTCAATAGTAATCACAAATTAATAATAATTTCAATGTATATAAGGCCTAGTACGTTATTGATTATTCGTAAAAATAATTGAATTTTAAATTTGGGGGGCCACATTAAATCTAAGGGGTGCCAGGCCCATTCATGTCTACGTGCCTGCATCTACTAGGGCTGAAGTCACACCATTTTTGGGACTTATTTAATGACGCACAAAGCTTTAAGTATGCAATGTTAAACAAATAAATTGGACGTATTTTGTATTGAATATTTTTACATGTTAAGATTATCTTCTACTTTTTAATGTATGTTTGACATATTTTTTGGCTTTTATATATTTTTTGACATACTTTTTTTAAAATAAAATTTATTAATTAATATGTGTTCATAAAGTATGCATATTTAATTCTTTTTAGAACTTTTAGCTATACGCTTCGTTATTGCAATAAAATCGACTAATAACGATCGTGGTAACTTTGAATACTTTAAACGAATAACGTTATATATAAAAACCATAATTTTTTTTTCTTTTGAAATGAGGTTTATCATTATGTTATAAGATAAAAATTTTGAGAGACGATTTATTTTTTATTTCAAGTTATTATATCTATCTCTAATATATTTTAAACATAATATAAAATAACTATAATGAAATATTAAGTAACCATTTATAAAATTTACTTAAGTCTAGAAATCATGACTAGTTATACATGTATGTCGCCATAAAAAAAATAAAGTATAAGGGATGGACATCAAAATTATTTTATAAAAGATAAATGAAGAAACATATGTAACTAACAAAAGCAAAAAAAGTTTTTCAAAATAATTATTACATTAAGAGGAATTGAATGGCTAGCGTTAAAAAAATTACCCAACAGGCATACATAATTTCGTGAAGTTATTTTTATATTAAAATTGAAATTCGAGTTAAAAATATAATTACATCTACTACTTTTCTCGGTCTCATTTAAACAATTAAATAAGTAAACAAATACTCCGATTTTTTAATAGTTTTTAATGATCAATTTTTAACATTTCTAATGTTATTATTACTTGGTAATAATAAACTTTTACTTACACGACTGGCAGCCGACGTATTTGGTGTCACAACATTTACACAACCTCTTGTTCGCAAGTCCCAAAATCTTATAGTTCTATCATGACTTCCACTTACGAACATAGCTCCTCCCCAATTATACAACGATAAAATATGTCCTATCATATCGAATCGAATAAAAAATCGAAATTATTTATGACATACAAAAGAAAACATTAAAAGGAGTAATGATAATTTTGAATACGCACCAGAATGGCCACTGAGCGACTGATAAGGTTGTCCAGTCTCACAGTCGGTAACGTATATCTTACAATCTCCAGCGCCACCGCTAATTAACAAACTACTTCTGTTGATGGTATCCTCAATGAAACAAACATCCCTAACGGTACCGTCGTGCATTGTCAATTCAATCTCTTGACCTTCCAAATTCGAAGTTTCAGCATTGAACCTCATCAACTTGACTGTTTTATCATTACTGCCAGTGGCTATCAACGAGCCGTCTGGTGTCCACGACATACAGTATATTGAGCCCTTGTGATGTCTGGTACGTTTGAACAAAACTGTTGGTTGTTGGACAACATGATTTTCTCTGCAAGTACAAAATAACACTATTACATTTTGAATAAATTTCATGTGTTATGAATAAAAACTAAAATTAACCAACTAATTAATTCAAATCTTATATAGTTATTTTAATCTACGATACTTAGAATTTAATACATTAATCTAATAAAATCTATTACTAAAATCATATTAATATGTAGATCCATCATATTAAAAATTTAACTATAAAACGTTTGTAAAGGGGCAATATTATGACCAAATGAAAAAACGAGCAACAACTATCAAACAACCGTCGTATGTTATATGAAAAATCTCATAACAATAATTTAATATGTTTTCATTATTTAATAATTTTTGTTAAATTAAAAAATATTGTATATATCTTACGGACTGATAATGTTGGTCTAACATAGTTGATTAGGTCAATGAAATTATTTACTTTTACTTTATTTAGAAATGACACTCGTTATTCCTAAAATTACACTAATAAAATGTCACTATTTACAGATACCCAGCGTTTGTCGTTAATTATGACTTTATCAGCAGATATGCTTAAAGTATGACACATTGTTGTAAGTTAACATTATAAATACACCAACGGGCAACACAGAAAGCTTATCTATCGATAAAGTCATAATACACATAAGCAATAATATTTGATTTATTGTTTATATATTTAAAAAATCAGTTAAACTTGATAGAAAAGTCTCAAATTTCGAAGAAATCTTATTAAACACCATAAATAATTTTTAAAATAAAGTTCCAAATAAAATGTTTATATTTTTATAATGATATTTACTGTGTAATTATTGCTTAATAACTAATTAGTATTATCTCAAAAATGAGATGTGATAAAAAAAATCTGAAGGCAAATTTGGAATTGTGAACAATAAGAATTTCATTGTTTTTTTTTTATTGTGTGTATTTTGGAAATTATTAAAATTGTTATAAATAGTCGGAAGGATTGTGGCTGAGACATATTAAAATCGTGGGTATAACTATTTTTTTCATCAGACATTTCTCGCTCACTCTCCTCTCCCCGCCATAGTATAAAAATTTAAATAACTTTAGAACTAATAGTTTAAAAGTTGTAATGAACCCATTTCTCTATTAGATCACTTCTTATTTTATGCGATATTTAAATATGAATGTTGTCATTAAAAAAATTACGTTGACACCCTTATAAAATATAAAGGATGAATAGATAACCCCGTATAATAATAATAATTTTGACATTTTTCTAATGTTCTTCGACATGAATTTTTATTTTAACAGATTTTTCAGATTAAAAAATTTCATTATAGGGTCAATCCATGCCAAATCAGCATCCAGTAATGATTGCACGATCGCCTCATTTTTTTTTTTAAATTTTCAGGGTTTATTCTTTATGCTGTATTTAGATTAAATCATTCGACTTCCCATTTTAATGTAAAAAAGGTTAAAAACAGCCAGAACGTTAAAAAAACACATAGATTATTTAATATTAATTTAATCGAATATAAATTTTGCAACCACTTCTGGTAATTTGGCATGGACTGACCATAAATTACACAAATATTATAATACTATTTATAAATAAAAAATTGACATGATTTTCAAAAAATACTTAAATCAAAAACTTTATTTCAACAAATAATCACAGCAAAAGCCATTATAATTACTAAGATTTCAAAGTTTTTTTTTAGACAAACAATAATTATAACAAAATTATTAAAATGATCATAAATATAAGATGCACAAACCCGATAAGTGAAAGGTGGATATTAAAATGAACTGAATCGCGCAGATTGACTCGCTGTAGAAGAAATTCGTAGTTATACTCAAAGTTCTTTAGGTTTGTACGATTGAGTTAAAAAAATAAACACATTAATCATTACTATCGAAAAAAGTCAAATCTGTTATCGTTGTACCGGTTGTGTAACGTTTGGCAAACATACCAACTAGTCGTACGCATAGGAATTACGCAACGTACTTTGACATTTTACTAGCATCCGGAAATTAAAAAAAAATTGTAGAATACTTCATATAGGGTCTGACGCACGTTTACGAGTAAACATACATATTTTATAGTATTTAATGCCTAAAGAACGCATTGTTAGTTTCCATTAATGTTTCTGCTACAATAGTTCACCCAAACGTGTATAGCCGTATCGGATTACATCTATTAATTTTTTTCTCAATCAATACAAAAATGAATATCATCAAATGGATAAATACACACAGGCGAATATAAGAGAAATGTTCAATACTCAAACGAACGATAAACATCATTGTAAATCGACAACAATCAGACACGTACAAACTATTCAAGCATAAATTGATAATAGTAAAAAGTGATTTTTTTTAAGTTCCATGTCATAAAATCAGAATGTAAAAACAATAAAAGTACTGCTAATAAGACAAACAGTATTTTATAATTTAATTTAATTGTTTTTAAGGAATAATAATCATAATCTATTTACTTATATACCAACAAGATCCTTGTGAAAGCATTCATAAAATATAGAAAATTTCATGAATTATTTTTAAATTACTCTAAAATTTTCATTATTTATTCACGTGAATAAAAATACGTCAAGTGATTACCACTTTGAGCCTTATAAAGTTCTCAAAGATTTTTATTTAGCGTTTCCTAAGTGCCAGACGGTGCTAAACGTCCGAATTAGTGGAATTAGCGAAATAATTACAAAAAAGCTTTTTTGTATAAGTTACCACAATGCCCAAATATATTTAAATAATTCTAATTCAATTCACAATGAATTTTCGATAGTTCGATTTCTAATTATGATGCATTTTTTCTAAGTATGTAATTTTTTGTTCGAAAACATATATCTATAAAAATGCGTTATCACTTAAGAAAATCAGACAACAATTTCAACATAATGTTTATGCACACAAAAATTCATATATTATTTTTTCAAATCTTATTTTACACCTAAAAATCTCATAAAAAAAAAACTAAGATTTACATGTATGCATATGCGATTTAATTTTATAAATAAGCGACTGTAATTTAAGACACTTTAAACGAGTTTATAAGCACATCTCAAGCATTCAAGTTCAAAAATATATACATGTACATTATATTTTATCATATTGTGTTATTCTATACAAAAATTGAATGCAAAATAAAGTTTGACTAATTTATCTCTATTAATAAAGACGGTCGAACCTTAAATACAGTTCGTATTTAAGGCTTTGAAACCATCACGACCAACACATAACAGTAATACTATCATATTAACCGAACAAAAATCTGACCGAGACATTTTTTATTTTATTCCGGGAATACTTCTACAAGGCAGAAAAGAGAAAAATCATAAAACTCAGTCATTAGACTAGATCATAAGCATTAAGAGCTTTCACTCGGTTTTCAATAGCGGCTAAGCACAATAAAAACATAATATAACATCAAGTCGGTCCACTGATTATTGGAGGAGCAATACTTTTTTTCATTTTCCGTCTCATTACTACACAAGCCGAATAAACGACCGTGGTAACGACAAACTGCTGTCAAATCGCATTTGTGTCTATTAATTGATCACAACATACAACGTGACGGTAGATTTCTATGAGCGTCTCGAAATGTTTACCACAACAGTCACGAAACTTGCAGTTTTTTCATTTGTAAACACTCCTCTACCGTCGAGGTGCACGTGTACTAATAGTCGTATAAGCATTCAGAGTTATCAGTCCGCGACCTCCCACATTAAATATTTAATAAGTACTTGGTCTCAAAATAACAGTCGATTAGTATGATTTTTTAGGAATAAATTCCTTCCGGGGATACCACCGCATGGACAACTGTACCTTTTGGTGTAAAAGAAAACATTCACGTTAATCACAATAATAACATACGTGTCAATGTGCACGAAACGTTTTATAACTGTCATTAGTGGTAAACCAAAACATTAAGTTTAGAACCACGTGAATTTCCGACACGAATATCGAAAAACAATAGCTAAACGGTTACAATTTTATTTGAAAAAAAAAAATCTGAAGAACTGTAAACGCTCATACGTTATGTGAACATAGTCAGATAAAAAAATTCAGCGAAATTTAAAAAACGACTAAATTTTTAAACATTAAAATGTGTGGACAGACAATTACTCTCATTAATAATTTTCAATTTCCAAATNATCTGAAGAACTGTAAACGCTCATACGTTATGTGAACATAGTCAGATAAAAAAATTCAGCAAAATTTAAAAAACGACTAAATTTTTAAACATTAAAATGTGTGGACAGACAATTACTCTCATTAATAATTTTCAATTTCCAAATAATATTATATTTTTATGAGCACAAAATCAAAAAATTAACTACCATAGAAATTTAGTGTGGAAACTGTAATATCGATATTATTAGTATTTTTTAGATATAAACGCACACGCAGAGGGATTTTTAATGAATCCGGATACACCCAAACATCAGACTCATTTAAATATTTCCTGTTAGAAATTTATTATGCGTTTCAATCAATAAAAGTAATTATTGATAACATGAAAACGTTAAGTATACATCTACACCAATTAGATAAAATAGGTGAAAACAATAATTATAGGTAATCAGTACGTCGATCTTCATATTTTTTTTGGATTTAAATGAAGAAATGCGTTACGAAATTATGAATTTGAATTTTAATTAAAATGTTAAACATAATTTTGTATATGATTGGACCATTTTTAAATAGCCGGTTTCGCGGTCTTGAGAAAATTCAATTACTTGTAATACATGTATACGACTGACATAATTAGATATTAACATTTTACATGTTTAATACATGCAACTTGTACTATATAGTAATATTACTCACTAGTAATATGTTAGTGACACTGAGACGCGATAAAAATGACCTAGAAAAAAAACCTAAACAAACGTGCAATTCTTTTTTTATAATAATACTGTATTCTGTTTATTTTTAATTCGATCATTTACTGAGAACGAAATGTTGAGATTTTCGATTACGACACTTCCTATAAAATTTAAGAAGATGTCGCATTTCTATTAAAAAACAACTTTAATTCGTTTTAGGCGATTCTCTAAAGATGAGCTAAGAAAAAATAACGTTATGTAACTAAATTGAAGTGTATATTTAAACATCGCCTACGCAGCTACCTTTCTTTTCCTATTTACCTCGTGGGTAATCATACGAAACTGTTTACAATTATTACTTTTTTTACACTAATCTTCAGTCGACAATTTCTCCCGAACGATGCCAGCTGTTATGAAAACGAGTAAAGACGACCTTCGTAATTGAAGAGGTCCGCGGAAAGACATTTTTTAAGATCAAACCGTTTATATTCGAAAAGGGAAATCGATATGACGTGGATTTCGCGTTTGACCGCTTTGATTACAGTAGGCCGACAATCGCCGACCAATTATCGGCTGTTATTATATTACACAGTGAGATTTACACTTGTCAAAGTCGCACTTAATAACATAATGTGCACGTCTGACTCACGCAACCTTCGTGAAAGTTCTATTCATTTCAATGGAACGCCTCGGCAATGTACCTCGTTGATCTCTAACCATAGATCTAGCAATACCATAATGATCGTATTAACGTACTGACCTGATATCTGTAACTTTTGGGTAAGCGCATATACGCAGTGTCTTGGAATTGGATCCGACGGCATATATGGAACCGTGCGGATGAAACTCGGCACACCGCACAGCTTGAACGTCTTCGAGCCTGGTGACTGCTATGAATTTTGGTTTGCCACTCTGGTCATTGTTGTACGAGTCTGTAACGTCACCGTTGTTGGTAGTTTTATTTGCCGTAGGCTGCAAAAAAAAAACATACAATATGTAATTATTAGTGATTGCTTTTTGATGATTATTATCTAAGACTTTCTTGGTTAATAATCAAGACATTGGACAGGGGAACGGTCACGGTCGTGTGGGTATGAAGTATATCCAAAGGTTTAAATCAAACTATGACTTCTCTCAAAATCCTTATCGACTTTACTTTGATAAAAAATTATGTGTTAAGTAAAGTAAAACAAAATAAAATAATTTTTTTCTACTCGCGAATACTAGATAAATTTTTCAACCTAATACAATAACTTCACTTTTAACCGGTTTGAAGAATTACATCTTGTTGGTTTCAAAAAGACTGGCTTTCAGTACTCAGATTCGATCATAACTGCACAAAAATATAATCCTAATACAAAAACATTAATGAGTAGTAATCACACAACACCATAAAATCACTGGAATTCTTCAATATATATATATATATATATATATTTTTACTTTCAAAAAATTACTACCTCAAATTAATTTAAAAAAAGTGATAGAAGTATCGAAATATTATAAGATTAACAGTAAACATTAAAAGTAATGTAAATTTCAGGATATTTTTAAATTATTTAACTGCATAATTAATATTGATTTATTGTATAACTCTTATTTACTATATTTTACATGGGCGTTATTATATAAAAATTAATATAACTTCTTATTAAAAAGAAAAATGTATTCTTAATTAGACGTTTTATATAAAAATTGCTAAGATTTATTTGAATAAATGAAGGTATATTATAATATATTTAACTTAAAAAAAGTTAGTTACTGTTCTTTCAAAATATTATAAATAGTCAACAAAAACGTCACATATTAAAAAAAAAGTAAATTAAATCATTTATTTCAAAAATTTAAATTTAGAAAAATGAATCAGAATTATACTCATAAAAACACTTAAAAATTATCCGAATTTTCACATACTGCAAGTTGATAACGCATAAAACGTAAGGGAAAATTTTAATAAATAGTGATAAAAATGTTACATTTGTGTACGAATTTTCGATACTTAATGTCATCAAAATTAACGTGTATATTAAAAATACCACACTAACGTACAGGAATTTTTGGATAATTTCTTACTATGAATATCATTTAGTAAAATTTAATATAATTTACATTAATTTATCATTAATGAAAGAATGCAACTTGAACTTTAATGAACTACAATTTTATTAAAATAATTCATTATTTTTTCAAATAAATTACAAATTTTAATAAGACAATTGTCACTAGAGAAGCTAATGTTATTCATTTATATGTGTAATAACATGTTGTTTTTGCAGTAAATTCTAATTATTGACTAATTATTTATAAAACCACTTGAAAGTAATTTGAGAATTTATTTTTTAACGTAATTTCTAAGTAAGTCCTATAAGGTGTCAGCAATTCAAAACATATTACTACTTCGTTTTATATAATAATATATTATGTTTAAACTTAAGTACTAGTTCAACTGTTTTGATTAATAGTTTTTTAATAACACAAGCCTATATAAACCATAGGCTCCATACTTGAAGTTCTAAGCCAAATGTGTGAACATCGTTCCGTTGTTGAACAAACAATGATTTCGAATTGGTAATATTTTATTTTAACATTGTAACACAGACACGAAGATTATCACAATATAATAGTGATCGTGCAAACACATATATCTTCACTAAAGTACACTCATTTAACGGCATATTTTACTTGTATGAATTAAAATGATTTCTATAGCATTAGAAACCGAATTAAGCACACAACGTTTACAATATTTATAATTGAACTCGAATCATCGCTAAGGCAAGACACTTTACAATAATTACGTCCTATACGTTGATATACACAAAAAAATTACATCTGTAAACCCACTTAAACAAATTTTAGTTTCGGGTAAGAATATAATTGTTATTGAATAATCCTCTATAAAACCGGCACAAATTTACAAAAGTGAAATCCAATATTTTCATTTTAGTCTGTGTCGTGAATTTTTTTTTAGATGTTTTATGATACACTTATTAAGAAAAAAACACGACAAAATTTTCGCATAACCTTCAAAGAACCTAACACATGAGCGAAAGTATATGATATTATAAATGTCAGCAAAGCGGTTCGGTAAGTGTACACTAAACGAAACGAATGATAAAATACTTGTTTTGTGATCGCACTGGCAATAAGTCTATATGAGTGTACATAACACTATGCAGCAGCTGTGGCTAAAACCAAGTAACAATAATGTCAACAATACTAATGCACAGTGGTACGATTTATAAGTCTAACAGCTAAGAAATCAATCAGAAAAAACGACTACGCATTAAAATAAAAACATACAATATTTTAAAACAATTGCCTATATGATAATTCATCCGAGAGAGTTTTACTTTCTAGACGTTAGGGATTTAAAAACAATAATCCATTTTCAGTGTACACAAAAACAATACAGGTCGTGCTTTACAAGAACCTACACACGTGAAAACAATTATGTATGCTAAACGTTTAATTCTAACTCACTTTTCGTTGGAACAAATGATTAGTCAAATTATAATAGAATGTCATTCAGATAATTAAAAACAGAAGACTAGGAAAGAACTAGACTAGGAATCCCAACCAAATTAATGATTTTTTCATAAAAATGTTAAACATGAATTTTGAAAAATTAAAACTAAAGTTGTACAAATTAATAATTAATTTGTACAACTTTAGTTTTACAAATTATAAAACAATTATTGTTATAAGGCAATTAAATATTTACATACCAATACATACGATTTTTCTTCAATGTAAAAAAGCACTTTAAAGTGATTCAGCTCACTTCTTGAACAAATATAAAGACGTTTTTCATATTCATAATATCAAACTTAGAAAAAGAAAATTATATTTTCTATCACAATCGATAAATAATCTTGATACCATCTACTAAGAAGATAATATAACTAGAAGATGTCACGACTGCGATTTAATTGTGAAATGGTGAAACGATAAAAAGGAAAATCTAGACCTGTTCGAAACGGCTAACAATTTCTCGTTTATTCGCATTTGTAACTATAATAATGAAAACTGGATAGCTAAGGAATATTTTTTAATGTTTTTCATGAAGTTGTAAATTTTCATTACATTCGTAGAGTTTAACGAGAGTTATGTATTTTTTGATTAAAATTTATAACAATTAAAAAATATATCCTCAAGTCAGGTAACACATTTTTATTATGAACTAATATGATACTTGAAATTAACTGTTCCGAAATTAACTATTTAATATTTTGAAGAAAGATCTCTGAAAATATATGTCAGTTGTCTTTTTAAGTTTTTAAAATTTATTTCATGACCATTGTAAAATGTCTGGAAAACACCAATTTGAATTAACAATTACGAAAAAAAACCCTAAGGAGAAATTCGCTTACGTTGTATCCGTAATACTTCGGTTTAGTCGCCAACAAACTCTCCATAGACCTTCGTTTCCAATTATGTCTATTTTCTTTACCGGACGCTTTTAATTTTCGCCTTACATTACCAGCAGGACAATAACCCTTTTCGTAAATACCTCGAGGGCCCATTTCGTCCAATTCTACCACTCGAAGGAGATTCTCCAACGACCTGGCTGGTCGAGGTTTGATATAAGCACATCTCTCGCGCAGATGTCTGTCTGGATCAATGGCACGAAACGGAGTGAGCTGTAGCTCGGTCTTTAAAGGCCGTTTACTGTTACAACAACGGTACGGGCATTGGTTGCGAGCAGGCAAAGGCGGTTCACGAGTAGTCAAAGGTGTACACGGTACAAAATCGGGTTGTACAGACGGACAAGAACACTGGACAACGTAACACAAAGACGCCGGCGTGGATTCTCGACGATAGCGGATCGACGGCTGCGTGATGGCGGCGGCCGGACGATAAACTGGCGGCCACGCGCGCCTCATTGTAAATACTGACTGTTCAGCGGCAAGACGGACGCTTTACCGCCATAAGAGAATTACACCCCCTCTACCACAAAACAGCTAGCGGACAGCGCATAAGTACGCCAAAGAGAAAGATGTTACCACAGCGATGCAACAAGAGCGCAAGTAAAACAATTATGTTTTGGTAACAATATGGTATTTTTGCGACTAATCGACTGAAAATAAACGAACAGTACAAGGTGACACTTTTCTAACGACCTCCCGCGATGGACCGATAAATAAATAATTAACCGTAAAATAAAAAAAAACGTATACTAAGTATACGCATAAAAATATTAATAACTATATAGGTCGGTCCTATTACACAGGAGAAATTATTTGATCAAGTCGATTTGTATTTGTATTTTTTTTTTTATTATGTTCAGCCTGAAAACATACTTGCAATTTTATCGATACCACAACGTTTCATTATTTGTACAAACGAAACACAATATTTTTTTTATTGACTAATAAAAACATTATTTCTAATTTTGTATAAAAAAAAAAATGTAGTCTAAAATTCTATTAATGTTACAACTTATATACATTTATAAATGCTCTTACATTTCTTTCTTGGATAATAATATAAGAAAAAATTGTTATGAATGTTTGTAAGGAAAAAATATAATTCTAATGGCATTAAATTAAGCTCACAATAAATTTATTAATGTACGATATTTATGTGTGCATATGCAATTTTTACTCAATATCAAACGGAGACTTCTTTAAATAACTATTGTCATCAAAAAAGAAAGGCGAAATTTTAGAATGAATAGACAAATGTTCAAAATATAAATCGATTAAGAAAAGATGAAGATTTTAAAGACACTATTTCTATCATGTGTATAACAAAAGATGACACGTAGTACTTAGCAACGCGTAGAAAATGTATAGAATTAATACAATAAACAGTTGAACATATACTAGTATTAATAAAGCTATCATAATGTATCATCAATTTATAGATTCTTTTTGTACCTATACAAGCCTATTGGCATAATTATTTTTTCGTTCTTCTTTTAGATAAATATATTTATAGAGACTACACTTTCTACTGGAAGCCTTTAT